CAATGTCACGGTGAAAAGATGCACACAGCTGAACCCCTCCTCACTGCTGCCCACGCCAGAGGAAGGGGAGGCACACTGCTGTATCGCCACAATAGAACAGATATCACTCCCAGGCCAGACCTGAAAGAGGTGCCTCTGACTAATCCTGACTTGATTTTTTTTATACAGACGGAGCCGCGTCACGTGACAACACTGGGAAGAACCGAGTCGGCTATGCTGTGTGTTCTGATTTTGATACTATAGACTCTGGTAGTTTGCCCCACTACCATTCAGCACAAACCGCTGAACTGGTCGCGCCCACCGGGGCTTGTGAGCTGGCAGCGGGCAAAACTGTTAACATATTCTGTATGTATCTGTGTGCACGATGGGGCACTGTGAAAACCCAATTCATGAAATCTGATGGTAAACAATTCTTAATTCCACACAGGTTGAACGTCTGCTGAAAGCTGTAATGTTGCCCTTAGAGATCGATGTACGCAAATGCCAGGCCCACACTAATGCCACTGATCCCATCTCTGCAGGGAATCGGCGCGCGGACAAGGCAGCGGCATACGCACCTCTACACACACACACACACTACCTCACTCAAGACGTTGATATTTTCTCCTCTCTGTCAGCGATGCAGACACTGGCTACTCCAGCAGAGACGCTGCTGTGGGAGGGGAATGGGGCTCAACGACGGCATGGTGTGTGTGGCTGGGACCAGACAGCAAACCGTGCCTACCACGGCATTTCTTCAGACAGTTTGCAATTTTAGCACATGGTCGAGACCATGCCTCAGAAGGAGGGATGTGTGATTTAATCACACAAAATTGGTATACAAAGGGGTTTACGGCATTTGCACAGAGATTCTGCCAAACATGCGCTATATGCCTCGCGCACAACCCAGGTAAGTCCCAAAAGTATCCAACAGGCTGCTCATCCTCCGCCCCTGCGCCCATTTCAACATGTCCAAAGGGACTTTGTTGAACTCACACCATGCCAAGGTAAGTAATACTGTCTGGGTCTGGCGGATCTCTGGTCCAAATGGACTGAATATTTGCATGCAAACACGCCACGAGCAACGCGGTGGTGAAAGCTCTGCTCACAGAAATTGTGCCACGATGGGGTGTCCCGAGGGAAAATCTCTAGTGACAATGGCAGTCACTTTGTAGCAAAAGTCATTGAGGAAGTGGGTGAATTTCTGGGCATTGATATACGTAAACACTGCAGTTACGCCCCCTGGTCCGGAGGCGCGTGCGAGCGAGAGAATGGCACTCATGTACATGCGCATGAGAGTCCCATTCGAAATCCTCTGTGCCAGACCACCCAACTTGGGCGCGGGACCCCCGAACAGAGATCTGCCAAGCACCTCTTTGTGTGATGACGACATGCTGTCCTATTGTAAGGAAATTAATGCACTTTTGTCCTCTATTTCTGCCCAGGTCAGGAGCGCCCTGCACAGCTGCGCAGCGGCTCTGATCAGCAGGCGACTGGGTCCTGATGAAGGAAACGAACGAAAGCATTGGCGGTCCAAGCGCTGGCTCGGCCCATTCCTCGCCCTCCTGGTGACGGACACTGCCGTTAAGGTCGCGGAGAGGACAACTTGGATCCACGCCAACCACTGTCGTGCGGTGCTGCCACTGAGGGCCATAGACGAGGACACCGAGGGCGCGGACGGACCAGGCCCATCCGCGGCTCCCTACGCTGAAGAAGTCGGCCGGCGTGCGACCACCGTCGGTGAAGCAGGCCAACAACAACACCCAGAGAATCCCAGCGTTCCCGAGGCGACCCCCCTTTGCCCAACTCCCCAGCCCCCGGATCCCAAGGCTTGGGAGCCATGAAGGCCCTGAGCGCTCTGCTCAGCTGCAGCAAGTATGCAGAGCTGCTGCCCATTCCAAAGATTTCTCCAGAGCTTGCTCCCTCTGGCCATAATGCAGATTTGAGCTCTGCTGGAGTGCCCCCTGGTGTCTCGTCTCCCGTGTGTCCGGAGGAGGTGGAGATGAGGGTGCTCTACAGTTCCTGATGAGGCACATGGTGAAGCGTGCTGTCATGAGGTCTCCCATCAAACGAGCTTTGGGCCTGGCCGATCTGGAGCGTGCTCAAGCCATGGTCTCCACACCCCAAACCCCGAGCACTCTGCCCAACCGAGTGCTGAGGCCAAGGCTTCAACGCAATTAGAGTCTTGCCGCTCCAAGACCAAACATCGCCATGACCACTAACGCTCCACACACGCTCATAGGGAGCGGTGCCACTGACTGCGAGACGGCACTGCTCGTGAGTATTCCCGCGGAAAAGACTACCGAACGTAGCCCGGCTAAGACCGGCATGGGCCCTTGGACTGTTATGCTGGCCACACTGACACTACTTTCCGTGCTGACCGTGTTTATTATGTTAATATTGCCTTCTCTTATCGCTGTCCGGATCCATTGTGTTATTATAATGTGCTCTTTCTTTTATTGACAAGCATGTTTCTTTTCTTGTCCACTTTGGACAGCAATAATTTAAGTGTTTCAAGCTTGAAGGTGGTGTGATTACGATGCCTCTGGTATTTAACTGATTAATGCAAAAATGGTTTTGAATTATCAAAAGAGGGGAGTGTGGTGACAGTTTTTGGAGTAATTACATAAAACCAGCCGCAGCAAATACACGGACGTCAAAGGCCTTTTATCAATGCAGAGACGACCTTCTGACGCCATGCTGAGCTTTGTGAGGGCCCCTGCTGTCTGTCACACCCTTGTGTCTTTCGTATCTTGCATCTGTATGCCTGCTTCTATTCATATGTCCCTGCTCCAGGAAGGAGCCGGGTCCCCCCCGACACCTACAGACAATGGCGATCACTCTTGCCCCCTTTCACCTCTTGCATATGTATCGGTCTGTATGTGTGCACTTTCTACATCCTGCAGTCTGTTTGCATCCCTATGCGCCTCCTGCACCGGTGGCCCCCTCCCATCTGTTGTGGGCGGGACTGTTTTTCGTGTGTGTCTTGTAAACAGGAAACTCGGAGCTCTGCGAGCCAGAGCTGAATGCACGCTGTTTCTGTGTAGTCAGCCCTCCGCACGTGCGTTACAATAAACTTACGCTCCTGATTTAAGACAAATACTTTTGGGCTTTCTCCTTGTTTTGGGGTATATAATTCTATAACAGTACACTTCAACTGTGAGAGACAGAATGTGAAGAAAAAAATCCAGGAATTCACATTGTAGGATTTTTAAAGAATGTATTTGTAAACTATGGTGGAAAATAAGTATTTGGTCATTTCAAGCAAGGAAGATCTCTGGCTCTCACAGACCTGTAACTTCTTCTTTAAGAAGCTCCTCTGTCCTCCACTTGTTACCTGTATTAATGGCACCTGTTTGAACTCGGTATCTGTATAAAAGACACCTGTCCACAGCCTCAAATACAATACAATACAATTACAATACAATTTATTCTTGTATAGCCCTAGGTCACAACAGAAGTCATCTCAGAGGACTTAACAAAACCATTGAAATCACCAACACAGGTCAGAGAATCAACAGCCAAAACACATGGAAATATAAAGCACACACAGAAGAAAATGTCCATACATGTTGTAGAATGCTAAAGTGTCCTGATAATCACCAATCCTTTCTGTTGGACACTAACTGTCATCAAACAGTCAGACTCCAAACTCCACTATGGCGAAGAACAAAGAGCTGTCGAAGGACACCAGGAAAAGAATTGTAGACCTGCACCAGACTGGGAAGAGTGAATCTACAATAGGCAAGCAGCTTGGTGTGAACAAATCAACTGTGGGAGCAATTATCAGAAAATGGAAGACATACAAGACCACTGATAATCTCCCTCGATCTGGGGCTCCACGCAAGATCTCATCCCATGGGGTCAAAATTATCATGAGAACGGTGATCAAAAATCCCAGAACCTGGGGGACCTGGTGAATGACCTGCAGAGAGCTGGGACCAAAGTAACAAAGGTTACCATCAGTAACACACTACGACGACAGGGAATCAAATCCTGCAGTGCCAGACGTGTCCCCCTGCTGAAGCCAGTGCATGTCCAGGCCCGTCTGAAGTTTACCAGAGAGCACATGGATGATACAGCAGAGGATTGGGAGAATGTCATGTGGTCAGATGAAACCAAAGTAGAACTGTAGAACCAAAATACCAGCTACTGTGTGTGTAAACCTGGTAAAGACCTATAGTAATCGTTTGACCTCTGGTATTGCCAACAAAGGTTATATTACAAAGTATTGAGTTGAATTTTTGTTATTGACCAAATACTTATTTTCCACCATAATTTACAAATAAATTCTTTAAACATCCTACAATGTGAATTCCTGGATTTTTTTTTTCACATTCTGTCTCTCACAGTTGAAGTGAACCTATGATGAACATTACAGACCTCTGTCATTATTTTAAGTGGGAGAACTTGCACAATTGTTGGCTGACTAAATACTTTTATCCCCCACTGTATATTGGAAACAAAATGTACAGGCCAGAGGACGGCTATACGACAGCAAAAGTCATATGAATGTGTTTGACATCTTCCTCTCTGTGATTCTGATGCCACCACAGAGTCAGAGAAGATCTTCAGGAGTGGCCCCTGCACTCCAAATATCAGTATCCAGAATCAGATGATTTTTTGATTAATTATCTTGCAGTAAAAAAAAAAAAAATTATACTCAATTTTGAAAAAAAATCTTGTTCTTTGAGTATTCATTTTAGACACAAAACTTGAGGAAAAAAAACAATATCATCAGGATCATTGTCAAACCTGCGCTTCCTGTTAATGTTTAAGACTAGCATTATGGAGATGTGGAGCCGACCATTGGCATGTTTCCTATGGATTAAGACTGAAAGTGCTACAAAAGTACACGGGGTATATATTTGGGCTGACGAGCGGTTTACGGTGTGCTCACTGGTGATTACTGTACGTCCAACAGTAATCACACATTTAGAATGCAATCAAGTATGAGTTGCCCTTGACACTGAATATTTCAATTGTTTGACAGGAAACACACATACAAGAATATATATGTGTCAAATCTGTGGAGGGGTGTAGGGGGGTGTCCGCATGTCTGATAGAAAAGGGGAGGAGCCATGTACCCTGATTGACAGCAGGTTCTCCCGCAGCTGTTCAGTGTTGGCCACGCCCATCAGCACAGAGGCCACGCCCCCACTGCGCAGACACCAAGCTGAAGGAGAGAGGATAAATACTGTTACAATGATATATATAAAAAAAGAATACTGTGTGATTATCTATAACTGAAGAACTTTGTGATCTTTTTTGTCAGCTGTATAAATAAAGTTTACTTACTTACTATTTATACTTAAGGGGTAGTGGGGTAGAGGTCAGGGTTTAGGAGGTAGGAGGGAGGACACAGGGCAATCACCAATGGCCAGCTGAGCAGGAGTGCAGTTCAGTCGTTGGGCCACATGTTGGAGGTCTCTGATCTTAGACAGTTGTTTCTGGGCCTCAGCGCAGACAGGCTCCTGACAACAGGGGAATTATGAGTATTAATTAACATCTTATTAACATCTATCCATCCATTTTCCACTGATGGGGGCAGAATTCTAAGCAGAGACGCCCAGACTTCCGTCTCCACACACACTCCTGAGGCAATCCCAGGACAGCTGAGAGACTATAGTCCCTCAGCTGTCCTGGGAACATGTCCTGGGTCTTCCCCGGGGTCTCCACTTGGTGGGACAGGAGGCATCCTAAACAGATGCCAGAGCCACCTCAACTGTCTTCCTTTGACGTGGAGAAGTAGAGGCTCTACTCCGAGCTCCTCCCGTGTGACCCTTGTATAAGGGAGTGTTCAGCCACACAGAGGAAACCTATCGTATCTGCAATATCGCCTTTGAGCTGAGCTCCCACTTCACAGTCCGATACGACGGCCGCATCACTGCACATGTGAGAGAACATGGTCCACTCTCCCCACAGCTCTGTGACTCTGACCTTCACACTGGGGTCCTCCAGGTGTTTCCTGGTGATGAGAGGTACCCATGTGACCGCTCCCACGCCTGGAGAAACACACACATGTGACAGCTGCCATGCCTGTGTATTATTCACACACACACATATACATATATGCACACATAGGGTGTGTACCTATCTGGTGGTAGAGTTGGGGCAGCTGCAGCTCCACTTTGTCTCTGTAGAAATAGTGATATTCAGTCTGTTCACAAACAGGAGCCACAAGGTTCAACTGACGAGCCACAGAGTATGCCTCCTACAGGAGAACAGGGGAACTACATCAGAAATACTACACAGAGTACTCCTACAGGACGAGAGGAGAACTACATCCAAAATACCACTGACACAGACTTCTCCTTCCAGTGTAGTCCTAGTCAGGCTCATAGGACCTGGTCCTGGACATAGCCCTCACCATGATCTCAACGGGACTCCAGCGGGACGTTCCCCAGTACATGGACAAACCCTGATCAATGAGGAACGACATGGTTCTGACCACCTCTGGAACATGCCAAGAACATGTAAAGAACATATGAGGAATGTCTGTCAGCACAGGTTTGATGATGACAGATTTATGTTATTATAAAACTACACATATAGTAAACATGTACAAAGCGTGTTATAAGCATGTTTTAAACATACTCTAAGCAAGTAATAAACATAACCGTGTCTCAGACCTTCTATTGGACCACTGACATCGCTGCGATTCGCAAACACAATGTCAACGTAATCCAGCTGTAGCCTGCGGAGGGCGCTCCTGAGTCCTGCAACAAGAGCGCAAAACCACAGACTGTCTACAGATGGACAATGCTAACCTACTAGCTCAATGCTAACATGCTATGACGCCCAAAAGGGATGTCATCATAGTGTTTTCCGAATGCGGGAGAAGCTGATTTGAATATAAGATTCCTAGAGTCAATTTCCTCAGATGGGCTTTTATTCTTATGGCGTGAGCTTTGTGTCATAACAGGGGCATACGTTTTGTCAAGATATTTGCTAAGGCAAACTGGAATTTCCCCCATGCTTGAAGGTGTGATTGGTCAATCCTCATATGGCTCAAATCTGGACATTATAGAAGCATAAACACCAAGATCGTAGGGCAGAGATGCACATACAGTAAGTCTCTGGACCCGCAGGTCCAAGTCTCTGGACCTGTACGTCTAAGTCAGGTCCAAGTCTCTAGACCCGTAAGTCCAAGTCAGGTCAAAGTCAGATTTTCCAACAGATTTTATTTGTACAAGCAATACCACAGACCTGCAACTCTCAAAACCATGAGTCTGAAGTATTGAGTCTCGAGTCCCTCTCGCAAGTCCCCATCTCTGTCCCAGAAAGAGCTAAACCACAGATTTTTTTACACTGAAAATGGTGAGTGTGACACAAGCAGTTACTGAGCGAGTTTACTTCAACGGAAGTCAATGAGAGTCAGAGCGAGTTGGAGCAAAACTTCCCTATGAGCACTTGATTTAAGCCCAATAATCATGGACAGCACTAATAGAATAACAGTGACGTCGCCCGGCATGGCGCAGCCGGGGCCCCACCCTGGAGCCAGGCCTGGGGTCGGGGCTCGTATGCGAGTGCCTGGTGGCCGGGCCTTAGCCTACGGGGCCCGGCCGGGCTCAGCCCGAAAGGACGATGTGGGCAGTCCCTCCTGTGGGTCCACCACCTGCAGAGGGGTCCGTGGTGGCGAAACGGTGCTGAGAGGACTGGGCAGAAGTCGAAGGCGGAGACCTCGGCGACCCAGTCCGCACACACAACATCTGACTCTTTGGACGTGGAACGTCACCTAGCTGGGTGTCCACCAGTGTACGTGGCACCAGGACACCCTAGGCCGGAGGTCGATGATCGACTTTGTTGTTGTATCACCTGACCTTCGGCCGCGTGTCTCGGACACTCGGGTGAAGAGAGGGGTGGAGCTGTCAACCGATCACCACCTGGTTGTGAGTTGGATCCGCTGGCAGGGGAAGAAGCCGGTCAGACCTGGCAGACCCAAGCGTGTAGTGAGGGTCTGCTGGGAACGTCTCGCTGAGCCCCCTGTCAGATGGACTTTCAACTCACACCTCCAGGTCCCAGCGGAGGAGGGGGACATTGAGTCTGAGTGGACCATGTTCTCTTCCTCTATCGCCGATGCGGCAGCTCGTAGCTGTGGTCGCAAGGTCTCTGGTGCTGGTCCCGGCGGCAACCCCCGAACCCGGTGGTGGACACCGGCAGTAAGGGATGCCGTCAGGCTGAAGAAGGAGTCCTATCAAGCCATGATGGTTCGGGGGACTCCTGAGGCAGCTGTCCAGTACCAGCAGGCCAAGCGTGCCGAGGCCCGGGTTGTTACAGAGGCAAAAACCCGGGTCTGGGAGGAGTTTGGAGAGTCCATGGAGCATGACTATCAGTCAGCCTCGAAGAGATTCTGGCAAACCGTCCGGCGCGTCAGGAGGGGGAAGCAGTGCTTTGCCAACACCGTGTATGGTGCAGGTGGAGAGCTGCTGACCTCAACTGGGGATATTGTCGGGCTGTGGAAGGAATACTTCGAGGTTCTCCTCAACCCCCCAGTCACGTCCTCCGTCCCGGAGGCAGAGGCTGAAGATGTTGGGGCGGATACTTCCATCTCCCTGGCAAAGGTCACCAAGGTGGTTGGCAGTCTCCTTGGTGGCAAGGCGCCAGGAGTGGATGAGATCCGTCCTGACTATCTAAAGTCTCTGGATGTTGTGGGACTGTCTTGGCTGACACGTCTCTGCAACATTGCGTGGCAATCGGGGGCGGTGCCGATGGAGTGGCAGACCGGGGTGGTGGTCCCTCTCTATAAGAAGGGGGACGGGAGGGTTTGTTCCAATTATTGTGGGATCACACTCCTCAGCCTCCCCGGTAAGGTTTACTCCAAGGTACTGGAGAGGAGGCTACGGCCGAGGGTCGAATCTCTGATTCAGGAGGAGCAGTGTGGTTTTCGTCTCGGCCGCGGAACACTGGACCAGCTCTATACTCGAGGGGTCATGGGAGTTCGCCCAACTTGTCCACATGTGCTTTGTGGATTTGGAGAAGGCGTTCGACCGTGTTCCCCGGGGTGTTCTTTGGGGGGGTTCTCCGGGGGTTCTCCGGGTGTACGGGGTCCGGGGTCCTCTGCTGAGGGCTGTTCGGTCCCTGTATGACCGGAGCCAGAGTTGTGTTCGCATTGCCGGCAGTAAGTCAGACCTGTTCCCGGTGCATGTTGGCCTCCGCCAGGGCTGCCCTTTGTCACCGGTTCTGTTCACTGTATTCATGGACAGAATTTCTAGGCGCAGCCAGGGGCCGGAGGGGGTCCGGTTTGGGGACCACAAGATTTCAACTCTGCTGTTTGCGGACGATGTTGTCCTGTTGGCTCCAACAAACCAGGACCTGCGGCATGCAGTGGGACGGTTTGCAGCCGAGTGTGAAGCGGCTGGGATGAGAATCAGCACCTCTAAATCTGAGGCCATGGTGCTCGACCGGAAAAAGGTGCCTTGCCCTCTTCAGGTGGGTGGAGAGGTCCTTCCTCAAGTGGAGCAGTTCAAGCATCTCGGGGTCTTGTTCACGAGTGAGGGAAGGATGGAGCGTGAGATTGACAGGCGGATCGGTACAGCGTGCGCAGTGATGCGTTCGCTGTATCGGACCGTTGTGGTAAAGAGGGAGCTGAGCCAAAAGGCAAAACTCTCGATTTACCGGTCAATCTTCGTTCCCTCCCTCACCTATGGTCATGAGCTGTGGGTAATGACCGAAAGAACGAGATTGCGGATACAAGCGGTCAAAATGAGCTTCCTCCGCAGAGTGGCTGGGCGCTCCCTGAGGGAGCGCATAGGGTGAGGAGCTCAGTCACACGGGAGGAGCTCGGAGTAGAGCCGCTGCTACTCCACGTCGAGAGGAACCAGTTGAGGTGGCTCGGGCATCTGTTCCGGATACCTCCTGGACGCCTCCCTGGGGAGGTGTTCCGGGCACTTCCCACCGGGAGGAGGCCCCAGGGAAGACCCAGGACACGCTGGAGGGACTATGTCTCTCAGCTGGCCTAGGAACGCCTTGGGATCCTCCCTGATGAGCTGGAGGAAGTGTGTGTGGATAGGGAAGTCTGGGCGTCTCTGCTTAGACTGCTGCCCTCGCGACCCGGCAACGGATGAAGCGGAAGAAAACAGACGGACGGACGGACGGTTTAGCATTGAGCTAGCGGGTTATCATTGTCCTTCTGTATACAGTCTATCTAAGGTGTCAGCAGGGGAGGGGCACTGCAGGGGGCGATGGGGACCCTGCGTGTGACTGGCTGCGTCACCGCCTCCACCGCTGCCTTCCACCGCTCCACTGTCAGCACCGTGTGAGTACAGCAGCGTGAACACTGGCCCCCATCCCCTGTTTCGTGTTATTCCCGTCTCTCCTTTACACTCTTCCACTCTGAACCACCCTCACGTAATCATAAGACCCAAGCAAGATCGCAAAAAAACTCAAAAGTCAGATCAAAGGAACTTAATTCATATTCCCTGTACAAATGCTTCCAGTTCTGCTGAAACCATACTGAATCTTGCTGTTTTTAATGTCAGATCCCTTGGCAACAAATCATTTTTAATTAACGATTTTATCTCCTCTCATAACCTCGATTTTATGTTTTTAACTGAAACATGGCTTAATAAAAACACTGGTTATGCTGTTCTACTAGAAACAGCCCCTCCCACCTACACATTTGAATATGAAGCACGAGAGAATAAAAAAGGTGGAGGCGTGTGTGCTCTATTTAGGGACAGCATGGTTACCCACAGACTGACATTTGGGAACTTTGCCTCCTTTGAATATGTGTCGTTCAAAGTTGAGATGAATAAATCCCCATCCATACTCGTCGTCATTATCTACAAGCCTCCCCAACACGGTCAACATTTTATTGAGGATTTTACAGAATTTTTATCAGTTGTATGTATTGATTTTGAGTCACTGATAATTACTGGTGATTTTAATGTTCATGTGGATATGGCTGAAAACAAAGATACAAAAGAGCTCAGCTCTGTTCTTGAAACCTTTGGTCTGGCCCAGCACGTGCGAGCCCCAACGCACAATAGAGGCCACACACTCGACCTTCTAATAACGAAGGGAGTTAACATCACAAATGTTAAAGTGGTCGATATTGCTTTGTCCGATCATTACTGTGTCTTTTTTAACCTGTCAGTCATTCCTAAACCACCCACTCAACCTACAGTTCTGAGGCGAAGACACATAGTGGATGGAACAGACGCTCTTTTTATGGAAAGAATCAAGTTCGAAATTGCCCCATGCTCTACTGTAGATGACTTATTAAACACTGTAACTCATGCCATTTCAAATGTAATGAATGCCATCGCCCCCATAAAAACCAAGAAAACTAAAAGTGTACAAAAAGAACCCTGGAGGTATGATGACCTTGTCAGAGAAAAGAAGAGAGAGTGCCGCAGGGCAGAGCGGAAATGGCGCAAGTTTAAACTCCATGTCCATTACGAAATGTTTAAATTAAAGCAGCATGAGTACAACAGTATTTTAAGTACTACAAGAGAGCGGTATTTCACCCAGACCATTGAAAACTCTAGAAATAACTCCCATGCCCTTTTTGCAACCGTAAACAGATTAACACACCCCCCATCACAGTTGCCTCTTGAGTTTATTTCCACATTTAAGTGCAATGAGTTTGCTGTATTTTTCAATGAAAAGGTTCAATCCATTAAAAGAGCGATAAATCCCACATCACAAATTTCTACACAAACAACTGAAGTTTCTGAGCTGTCCTTTTTTTCACCTGTCACTGAAAAATTGGTCAAAGAAATTGTTTTAAAATTGAAATCGTGCACTTGCTGCCTTGACGTGTTGCCCACTAGATTTTTAAAACTTGTTCTTAACAGTTTGTTGCCTTCACTCACTGCAATAGTGAACGCATCTCTTCAGTCAGGAACCTTCCCTGGTCCTCTGAAAACTGCAGTGATCAGGCCTCTCTTAAAGAAGAGCAGTCTTGATCCTGCAGTGCTCAGCAATTACAGACCCATTTCAAATTTGCCTTTCTTAGGGAAGGTGTTAGAAAAGGCCGTTTACCTGCAGCTAAACAATTTCCTGCTGCTGAATAATGTTTTTGACCTGTTTCAATCAGGTTTCAGGCCCCACCACAGCACAGAGACTGCCCTGATAAAAGTTTCCAACGACATCCGCGTCAACAGTGACTTAGGCAAAGCCACAGTGTTGGTCCTGTTGGATCTCAGTGCAGCCTTTGACACTGTTGATCACGAGATCCTCCTGCAGAGACTTGAGGGATGGGTTGGCATCACTGGCACTGCCTTAAGTTGGTGCAAGTCCTACTTAGAGGACAGACAGTACTTTGTTGAGATTGGGGACTGTGTCTCAGACCAGGTGGCCTTAACAAGTGGAGTGCCCCAAGGTTCAATTCTGGGCCCCCTTCTTTTTAATATTTATATGTTGCCACTAGGTCAATTGATTCGAGGCCAAAATGTATCCTATCACAATTATGCAGATGATACGCAGATTTATGTCTCACTGGCTGCGGGTGAACTTGGGCCAATTGAGTCACTCTGTCACTGCATCAAACAGATTGACTCATGGATGCAAAATAACTTTCTTCAGTTAAATTCAAACAAAACTGAAGTTATTGTGTTTGGCCCACAGAAACTCAGGGAAAGTGTGTGCAGCCTTCTCCAATCCTTTTCTCTGTCTCCAAATTACAAAAATCAGGTTAGAAATCTAGGAGTAATCATGGACTCGGACCTCAATTTCAATAGTCACATTAAATCTGTAACTTCAGCGGCTTTCTACCATCTAAAGAACATTTCTAGAATTAGGGGCATAATGTCTAAGGCAGACTTAGAGATTGTCATTCATGCCTTTGTTTCTAGTAGGTTAGACTACTGCAACGGCCTTCTCTCTGGTCTGTCCAAAGGAGCTGTAAAGCAGCTACAGTATATTCAAAATGCTGCAGCTCGAGTCCTGACAGGAACCAGGAAGTACGACCACATTAGTCCAGTCCTCAGGTCTCTGCACTGGCTTCCTGTGGCTCAGAGAATAGATTTTAAATCAGCTCTCTGTGGTCTCGCACCAAAATACATATGCAACATGCTGGTACCGTACGAGCCCGCTCGAACTCTGAGGAGCGCGGGGACTGGCCTTCTGTTGGTGCCCAGAGTTGGGACTAGACATGGGGAGGCAGCGTTCCAGACCTATGCACCTAGAATCTGGAACAGTCTTCTTGAAGGTGTGAGACAGGCTCCTTCTTTAGCTATGTTCAAGTCCAGGCTGAAAACGGTTCTTTTCAGCCGTGCCTACGACTGATCATCAAGAAATAATATCATAAATTTATTTTTGATGTATATATTTATTCATTTTCTTAAACTGTCTTTTGTATTTGTTTTTACAGTCTGTTTTTAAATTGTTTATAAATTGCTTTTAAATGTTGCCGATGTGAAGCACTTTGGGTTGCATTCTGTATGAACTGTGCTATAGAAATAAACATTGATTGATTGATTTACCTTCCACAATGTGTTTGCGCGACAGACCTCTCTCCGTCTCTGCACTGGAACACACACAGGTTTAGATAACACACATACATACACACACACACACTCACATATACAGAACACACCAAATGTTTGGGCACACCCTCTCATTCAAAGAGTTTTTTATTTTCATGATACTGAAAATTGTAGATTCACACTGAAGGCATCAAAACTATGAATTAACTCATGTGGAATTATGTACGTACTAAAAAAAAGTATAAAACAAAGGAAAATATGTGTTATATTCGCGGTTCTTCAAAGTAGCACCTTTTCAAGAGGACCTGAAATGGTCTTCAACAGTCTTGAAGGAGTTCCCAGAGATGCTTAGCACTAGTTGGCCCTTTCGCCTTCACTCTGTGGTCCAGCCCCAAAACCATCTGGACTGGGTTCAGGTCCGGTGACTGTGGAGGTCATGTGGCCCAGCACCATCCTTATTGGTCAAACAGCCCTTACACAGCCTGGAGTGGATCTACGGTCAATAGTCATGAAGAGAAAGGTTACTCATTGAATGAGAAACTGTGTTCAAACTTTTGGTCTGTACTGTAAATACACACACAAACACAACTACACACACATACACACACACACAGGTAGAACACACATCCACACATATACACACACAGACACACACACTCACAAAACACCCACCCACACATGGCATGGTGGAGCGGTGGTTAGAGCTTGTGTTTCATCCTAGGTTCGATTCCACCTCCAGGCTTTTCTGTGTGTAGTTTGCGTGTTTTCCCCGTGTCTAAATAGGTTTCCTCCGGGTGCTCCGGTTTCCCCATGTACGATAGGTATGAATGTAATGAGAGAGTCGATGGATGGTGTTGTCTGAACAATATCTGAACTCTGAACGCTGTCAAGAGCTTTGGGTGACCTTGGTCTGTAAAATGCGCAATGTAAATAAACATGATTTACTTACTACACATACACACTCACTCACACCCACACACAAGTACAAACACAACACGCACAATACACACAAGTTAACAGAAGGTGGTGCTGTACTCACACTCCACCCCAGTAGATCTTGATGGTGACCACATAACTGGAACGGCTGCAGGAAGGATGAAAGTAATTTATATAAAAGGCATCTATGTTAGATTTTTATAAAGGTAAACTGCATTTGAATAAAGGTCATTTAAAAAATACATTCATATTTTTAGATTTTATTAGGTGTTTGATGTGTCGCTGTCTGGACCAAAATAAAAGTACTATTTTTAGCCACCACAGCAGCAGTAGCGAGTTTGTGTGTGTACGTGTGTGTGCGTATGTGTGTGTGTGTGTGTGTGCGCGTATGTGTGTGTGTGTGTGTGTGTGCGTATGTGTATATGTGCGTGTGTGTGTGTGTGTGTGTGTGCGTATGTGTGCGTATGTGTGTGTGTGTGCGTGTGTGTGTGTGTGTGTGCGTATGTGTGTGTGTGTGTGTGCGTATGTGTGTGTGTGTGTGTGCTTATGTGTGCGTGTGTGTGTGTGTGCGTGCGTATGTATGAGCCAACGTCTAAGCATTGGTCTAAACTGGCAGTTTTGACTCTTTGTGAGGTCATCATTTTCAATCGAAGAAGGGAAGGTGAGGTTTCAAAGATGCCACTGACAGCCTTTACCTTAAGAAGTAAGACTGGGATCCATTCTGACATTGCTCTGGGACTGTCCCAACTTGAGAAAAAGCTGTGTCAGCATTTTCAACGCATTGAAATTAAAGGGAAAAGAAGTCGGAAAGTGCCGGTTCTTTTGACTCCTGAAATGATTGCTTCGATGGAGGTGCTGGTGGAGAACAGAAGGGCCTGTTCCATCTCTGACCATAACCCATACTTCTTTTCCCGCCCGGGCGCAGACACCCACATCAGGGGATCAGACTCCCTACGCCAGGTAGCCAAAGAATGTGGTGCGGTGCATCCAGAGATGCTATCCTCAACCAAACTTAGAAAGCACATAGCTACTATGTCTACAGTTCTCAATATGAAAGAGAATGAGATGGACATACTTGCCAACTTCCTCGGCCATGACATTCGCATCCACAGGCAATATTACAGACTACCAGAGGGGACACTGGAGCTGGCCAAAATCAGCAAAGTGTTGATGGCCATGGAGCAGGGAAGAGTGACGGAATTCGAAGGAAAGAGCCTCGACCAGATACAAATTGAGCCTGAAGGTAATTCTTGATATTATTAAAATATGTATGATTTTTTTCCCCTAAAGGCCACTTGTATTTTTATTTTCTGTGCGACAGGGAGAGCAGTAGAGATCCTCTCACAAACGGACGGGCTAAAAGAAACTTCAAGCGGAGAACCTTCAACCATTCATCCAGATGCACCCCATGGTAGTGGCAGTGCCCCTTCTGGTAAGTGTACCAGGTGGGGGATTACAGCCAGGCTGCTTGGTCCTCACCCTGGGAGTGTATATTGCTAATATATTTTTATTTCTCTCCCTAGAACGTGTAAGAAAGCCATGGTCTGCATCTGAGGTGAAGGCTGTGGAGAAGACCATGACACCTTTCATACAGACTGGAAAGGTCCCTGGGAAGTCTCACTGCCTGGCCTGCATTAATGCCTCACCAGATGACCTTAGACATCGGACATGGAGTGGCATTAAATTCTATGTCAAAAATAGAATCACTGCAATTCAAAAACAAAATCTAAAATAAAATTCCTTTAAAATAGTTGTTTGGTTTCTATTGACTGTTTTGTATTACTTAAAGTCTTGGTAAAAAAAGATTATGTCTATGGGTCCCATTCTGAACGGCCCTGTCAAAGGGACCCACCAGGTGACAAAAACGTGTATGTGTGTGTGTGTGTGTGCGTATGTGCGTGTGTGTGTACGTGTGCACTTGTTTTCAACTCCTGGTGGGTTCCATAACCTGAGATTCCACTCACGTCATGGGGACTGGTTTTACGTGGTGGGGCCCGAACACCGGACCCCACTGGTCCAAGCTTAATAATCAATGGGTAATGCTTTTCTAACGGTCCTTATGCAGTCTCTGTAAAAATATGGAAAGGACCCCTGGAGGTTTACTTTCCTGAAAAAAGTGTGTTATGTGTCGGAACCCTGGTGGTGGGTTGCGGGATATCAAGGAGGGGCACACTGGGGCAATTTCAGTCCAGCAGGCTGGAGCCAATCATGGAGCAGCACAACAGAGGAAATCAGGTGTCAGGCTAGAAAAAGGTGCAAGTGTGTGGTTCATTAGGCTGCAAGAAATCATGGAGGAGCACACTGAAGCGCACGCTTACAAACCACTGGTAAGTGCTGACTACAAGTCATGACTTCAAATTGTTATATAGAATGATTACAAATTATTTGTTGTTTGTGCAGCTTAGTCAAGAGTCCCTAATTGATGAAGTCGACTCAGATTCTGACGATTTAACTGTCAAGAAGAAACCTGTAAAAAAGTATGGAAAAAGAAAAATCAAAAACACTTTTCTTCAAGACTCGGAAAGTGACGAACCAAAGGCAAATAAGATTGTTATCATGCAGCTGCAAAAGAAGAAAAATGGGGGGCGAGTATACAGCAAGAGACACTTCTGCCTCTACTGTTCAATGTCCTGCCACAAAATGTCCCGTCATTTGACTAGAAAACATGGAAATGAAAGTGACGTAGCCAGAGCATTGGCTCTACCTGTGAAATCTAAAGCACGTAAACTTCAGTTTGATTTGATCAGGAATAGTGGAAACCGTGAGCACAATTTTGAGGTTTTAAAGGCCGGCATTGGAACTTTAGTCCCAGCTAAACAGCCAAATTCCCCAGTTAAATCCAGTGAGTTTTTGCACTGTATAGACTGTGGGGCATTGCTTAAGCGAAAGTCGCTGTGGAGGCATGTGGCCAGGTGCCGGCTTTCACAGAAAGATGCCCAGGCTAAACCAGGTAGAAGTAGGGTCCAGTCCCTCTGCTCCCTAGCCCAGCCTGTACCGGAGGGCATCAGCAAAAAGCTGTGGTCTTTAATTTCGGCAATGCATCAGGATGAGGTCACGGGTGTTGTCAAAGCAGAAAAGGGGATTCTGAGACTCGGAGAGCACCTGTACTTAAAACACGGGCATGATAAGACAAAGCATGATTACATTAGGCAGAAAATGAGAGAAGTCGGTAGGTTAATTAACGAAGCAAAAACCGCAGGGAAACTGAAAACAATTAAGGATTTCTTTATTCCTTCCAACTTTAACCATGTGATTGATGCAGTCAGGTCTGTGGCTGGATATGATGAGGAAACAAATCAATACAAGACTCCATCCTTGGCCCTCAAACTCGGCCATAGCCTCAGAAAGCTAGCAGATATTCTTGAATGTGACTCAAAAATGGAGCATTGTGTTGATGAACTATTTATTAAAAACCTCCAACGAAGCCGGCTGCTTTTTGAGAAGAGGTGGGACGTCTGTGTTTCTTCTGCTGCCCTACAGACCCTCCGGCAAGCCAAGTGGAACACTCCGGACCTGCTCCCTCTGACTGAGGACGTTAGAGCCATGCATGCACATATTGAGGTATGTCGACCTGAATATGTGCAAACCCTAATAAGTGAGCCAACGTCTAAGCATTGGTCTAAACTGGCAGTTTTGACTCTTTGTGAGGTCATCATTTTCAATCGAAGAAGGGAAGGTGAGGTTTCAAAGATGCCACTGACAGCCTTTACCTTAAGAAGTAAGACTGGGATCCATTCTGACATTGCTCTGGGACTGTCCCAACTTGAGAAAAAGCTGTGTCAGCATTTTCAACGCATTGAAATTAAAGGGAAAAGAAGTCGGAAAGTGCCGGTTCTTTTGACTCCTGAAATGATTGCTTCGATGGAGGTGCTGGTGGAGAACAGAAGGGCCTGTTCCATCTCTGACCATAACCCATACTTCTTTTCCCGCCCGGGCGCAGACACCCACATCAGGGGATCAGACTCCCTACGCCAGGTAGCCAAAGAATGTGGTGCGGTGCATCCAGAGATGCTATCCTCAACCAAACTTAGAAAGCACATAGCTACTATGTCTACAGTTCTCAATATGAAAGAGAATGAGATGGACATACTTGCCAACTTCCTCGGCCATGACATTCGCATCCACAGGCAATATTACAGACTACCAGAGGGGACACTGGAGCTGGCCAAAATCAGCAAAGTGTTGATGGCCATGGAGCAGGGAAGAGTGACGGAATTCGAAGGAAAGAGCCTCGACCAGATACAAATTGAGCCTGAAGGTAATTCTTGATATTATTAAAATATGTATGATTTTTTTCCCCTAAAGGCCACTTGTATTTTTATTTTCTGTGCGACAGGGAGAGCAGTAGAGATCCTCTCACAAACGGACGGGCTAAAAGAAACTTCAAGCGGAGAACCTTCAACCATTCATCCAGATGCACCCCATGGTAGTGGCAGTGCCCCTTCTGGTAAGTGTACCAGGTGGGGGATTACAGCCAGGCTGCTTGGTCCTCACCCTGGGAGTGTATATTGCTAATATATTTTTATTTCTCTCCCTAGAACGTGTAAGAAAGCCATGGTCTGCATCTGAGGTGAAGGCTGTGGAGAAGACCATGACACCTTTCATACAGACTGGAAAGGTCCCTGGGAAGTCTCACTGCCTGGCCTGCATTAATGCCTCACCAGATGACCTTAGACATCGGACATGGAGTGGCATTAAATTCTATGTCAAAAATAGAATCACTGCAATTCGAAAACAAAATCTAAAATAAAATTCCTTTAAAATAGTTGTTTGGTTTCTATTGACTGTTTTGTATTACTTAAAGTAGTCCCAGTAAAAAAAGATTATGTCTATGGGTCCCATTCTGAACGGCCCTGTCAAAGGGACCCACCAGGTAACAAAAACGTGTATGTGTGTGTGTGTGTGTGCGTATGTGTGCGTGTGTGTGTGTGTGCGTATGTGTGTGTGTGCGTATGTATGTGTGTGTGTGCGTATGTGTGTGTGCGTATGTGTGTGTGTGTGTGTGTGCGTATGTGTGTGTGTGCTTATGTATGCGTGTGTGTGTGCGTATGTGTGTGTGCTCGCCTCCGACCTTGCTGAGCTCTCCTCTCCACAGACCTTAGTTTAAACAAGTGCTTAAGACTTTGTCACTGACCTCCAGGACTTCTTCTTCAGGATGGACCCCAGAGTGCTCTCTGCTCTGAAACAGAAAGAAAAGTGTGTGTCTAGGTCTCACACTCTTTGTGTATGTGCATGTGTATGTGTGTATGTAGTTATGTGTACTCGTAAGTCTATGTGTGTGTATGTGCATGTGCATGTGTGTATGTGCGTATGTGCATGTGTGTGTATGTATGTGTGTGTATGTGCATGTGTATGTGTATGTGAATGTGTAAGTGTATGTGTGTATGTGCATGTGTATGTGCATGTGTATGTGTGTGTGTAAATGAATGTGTATGTGCGTGTGTGTTTTTGTATGTGTATAAGTATGTGTGTGTGTGTGTCTGTGTATGTATGTGCGTGTGTATGTGTGTGTCCATGTACCGTCCTCTCGCGTACACCTCTGTGGTGTCGAACAGATTCACTCCGCTCTCATAGGCCAGAGTCAGCACTTGCTCCGCCTCCTGAAAACGACAAAAAAAAAACTGAGGCGATGACATCACATTATAAAAAGATGTGTTTTACCTGGTCTGAGATCTGAGAGCCAAAGGTCTCACACGCCCCTGCAAGAGACCAGAATTAAACCCCAGACCAGACCAGACTGCAAGTACTCAGGTACCCAGACTCAGGACTACAAAGCCATATTTCAAGTGAAACACAGTTTGATATGTTAAAAGGTTAAGGTAAAGGTTCACTTTTATTTATCTCGCAAGGCAATTCATCCTCTGTATTTGACCCATCCTGATGCCACTAGGTCGTCTGTCAGGAGCAGTGGACGTCGTGGTAAAGCGCCCGAGTAATCCAAGATGGCGCCCTTTTCAAATCAATGGCTTGGGACATAGTTTTACACAGGGGCAGAGAGATTAGTGGAGCTCGCCCATATTTGAACATTGTCTGGTCCTCCCGGTTCTACGCAGTGGATGAGCTCCCATGATGCTTTGCGCCAAATACGCGTGTGTGGCTCTCATCCACGTTTACAGAGGGGCTCGGCTGCGCTTTGACCAATCAGAGTTTGTTGCATTAAAGTGTGGATTTAAAGAAAACAGAAGGATTTAAGAAGAAAAAAAGTTCAGGATGACAAGGGACACTAAAATCCGACCTTTATGAAAGCTGTAGGTTTTGTGTCAGGTTCTCTGTCAGCTGAGGTCGAGCTGTTTTAGTTTGCATTGAGTTCCATGGGGAAAATGTCTGGGTAGCCCACGAGAATTTAGTCTGCAGTACCGTGAGGGGCCCCTGTGCCCATGGGTGCCCATAAGCTAGTAATATCCTATCCAGTTATTATTATAGATCCATGCCGGGAACCCATCTCCAGATGTCCATGCTCGGCTTGATCAGGAAGATTTTTACCTTTTGTGCATGTTTTTAGTGGAAGAGGAAACTGGAGCACCCGGAGAAAACCTACGCAGGCACTGGACGAACATGCAAACTTCACTCAGAAAGCCTATTCTGACCAGGATTCTAACCCAGAACCTTCCTGCTGAGAAGTGAGAGGGCTAATCACTCAGCCACCCCCGCCCACGGTGTGATGTAAAATCTTGTCCTTTGAGTATTTACGTACACGCTTAGGACTTCAAAGGAAAGTATTAAAGAGGACTCACCCAGACCCAGACAGGACACACGCAGCCCGGATTTACCCAGCGTCCTGCGGAGAACACAGCTCAGTTATCTTATCCCTGATTGGTCGAGGATCAGTGCTGTTTAATTACACTGGAGCTTCATTAAGAGGTCAAATCCTGAACAGCTGCATGTCTGGTACAGGCTGGTCTACGAGATTCTTGTCCACATGAGTCTGGTTTTTTTAACTAAAAGCAAAATACAAAGCCAACCAGAGACCAGAGAGAGACCAGAGAGAGACCAAAGAGAGACCAGAGAGAAAGACCAAAGAGAGACCAGAGAGAGACCAAAGAGAGACCCAGAGAGCAGAAAGAGACCAGAGAAACTAGAAAACGACAACAGAGTCTCCAGAGACCGGAGAAAGGCCACAAAGGGATCAGAAAGAGGCCAGAGGAAAAGAGCGGAGAGAGACCAGTGAGAGAGCACAGAGACACCAGAGAGATACCAGCAAAACCACAGAGAGAAGAAAGACCAGGCACCACAGAGAGACCACAGCGAGAGGCCACAGAGAGACCAGAGAGACCAGAGAAAGAGTTCAAACCTATGCTACCAATATTTTTATTGTAGAAATCAAAGATTCAATGCAAGAATGTGAAATATATAGAAATGCTAAAAAGCCTCACCTGTACATCATGTCGCTATGGTGACCAGGTGCCTCATTCATGTGGGCGTGTCCCAGTGGCCTGAATGGCTCCACCCTTGTTCGGGTGTTAGCATTAGCCGCATTAGCCGCCGCTCGACGCTCCTTTAGTGCGTAATCTCCTATGGCTCCGCCCCCTCCGCAGTCTCTGGACCCGCCCCCCATGTTACATGCGATGGACACCTGCATCACGTTTCAGTACAGCAACCGCACAGCGCCACCTGCAGGAGAGGAGGCTGATCTGTCCATGGAGAAAACATACTATACTCCTACTACTACTGCAGACAGGAAGTAAAAGAAATATGATTTAAAATACTCCATAATATTTAAGATGAGATAAGATAAAATTATAAATTTATGTCATATCTGCCATGGATGGAAACTCTCAATGTTAAATGCAGGATATATTATGTACAATAAAAAGTGGCAAATCAAAAGTGGAAAACAAGAAACAGTGTCGACAGTAGTGCAGGTTTTGTGACTTATTGTACAGTCACAAAGTGCAGTGACTTATTGTACAGTCTGACAGCGGTGGGAACTTCTGTAACTAACACAACCAGACATTTTGGAACAAGATTCAGCAGTTTATATCACAACAATAGCTAATATTTGCAGTCTATGATCACAACACAGCAGGTTTGGTGGTCAGCCTCCAGGAGAGAGACATTATTATTCTTCATCAGCCACTCCAAAGACCTAACCTTCGTGTTGCAGCTCTTAACACACCTTGGGAAACATCATACATACTGCCAAATGGACAGA